CTCCTCCTCCTCCTCCTCCTCCTCCTCCTCCTCCTCCTCCTCCTCCTCCTCATCCGCGTCCTCCATTGTTGGTGTGTGGGGGTCAGATGGGCGCTTTAGCTGGGTAGGCGGCTGGACGCTGATACGAAGTGCTGCTGGGCAAGGCCTGCCGGGGCGGCCGGATCAGAAACTGGCTTCGCTCAGCCAATGGCCCGAGGGGGCGTCTAGCCATGGGGCTAAGGCTGGACAAGCGCTTTCCACTGCTCGCAAGCTAGCTACTCGCAAATGGCCTGGAGCCGCTGCGCGTGATCCATTGCATCGAAGCAAACATGTGTGTGTGTTTTCAGCGCTTGCGAGAAGGTATTTTGCGACTAGTGGAACACGCTCGGCGAAAAGACAGGGTCATGATTGGGCCCTCTCCCCTCAGGCAGAACACTGGGACACGCCAGCGGGAGCTGTCAGCCGCACCACCTAGTCGGTCCAAAGCGCCAGGCGGCGGACCAAGCGGGCAGCGAACCTCGACTGCGATGTACAGCCGCTAGCGGACAGGACAAGACAGGCGAGTAGGGTAGCGAGTCCTCCTCCTCCTCCTCCTCCTCTTCCTCTTCCTCCTTTTTCATCCTGAGCATCCGTTCTAGCATCCTGTGGACGGCGACCAGCGCGAAGCAAGCAGACGCCGCTCGATTCCAGCCAGCCGCGCGAGACCGCGGCCCGCGCCGCGACGGTCTCAGGGAGCCGCGACGACATCCACGAAGTCGCAGAACTCGAAGTATGCAACATCGAGACAGCCAGCGAACGACGACCACCAACAAATAATAATACGCAGGAACAGCCAAGCCTGCGCAAACGACCTTCGCGGAATCGCCGCACTCGACGTTATCGCACGCAAGACAGCGCATGCAACCAATACGATCATCAGCCCCCCCAAAAAAACAAACAAAAATCATGAAACAACTGCCGAACACTGCGCCAACCGTCTAGCAGCAAACGCGATGCCAACAAGGCACCTCCCACCGCAAAAGTACTCAACGCACCTGCCGAGGCCGTTCATGATCCAGGAACAGCGCCACGACATACTCCAGCTCTCAAGACCGAGGAGAAACGCCGCACCATGGATCAACAACCATCCCAAATCAACACCTGGCCCGAGGTGTTCCCCCTCCGGGGCTTCCTCGGGCTTCGTCCACAAAGGCCCAGACCATAACGCACGCACCGCCCCTGCAGCTTTAGAGTTGACCAACGTCGCCCTTGGCCCTTCCACGTATGCCCTAAGACCTCTCGCCCACAGCACCGTAGACTCGTCAGCCTGATGATGGTGAGCAACAATACGCGCCATTTGCCACGTTTGAAAACCAACTTGAAAAATATCACGAAGAAGCATAGGTGGTACTCTCAGCAAGGACCCGCTAGCCCCCTGGTCATCCAAGACCACCGTAGAAGTAACCTCCGCCAGTCCACTCGCAGAAACGAGAACTTGACCACCGCAATCGCCCCCCGTGCTTGCGACCGTGTAACCTTCTCCAAATCCAGGGCCCGCCATGCTTGTTCCAACCGTCCGCAACTGATACAACGCTCGCACACCATACGATGGTTAGAGAACACAATCGCTGTAGTAGCCTCAAAAGCAAGATCGTACCATGGATTACGCTGCGTCGCCAAGTACATCGTGCTACTGGCCCCCCGCTTCGGATATCATGCCATGACCGCAACCACCTGCCTCACGTCCGTGAGCTCCTTGTCCGTGACTCCGCAGACCGCGGCCCCATGACTAACGGACGGCAGGAGTCCAGTACGACAAAACCTCGTGGCTTTCAAACCGACCGTCCGCTTGAACCGTTGAACTCGCTTCAACCTGAACTTGACCACATTGAACCTGTGCTTCATAACTCTGCACTTAAAACTGATCCATACAACTCGAGTCCCAGATTGCGCATGTGGTTATTGGCCGGTATCGGGGAAAGCTCTAAAGACTGCCTTTACGACACCACTGCTGCCGTCGACGTAAGCACAAACTCCGACTTGCGGGCCTGAACCACCAATCCCAACTCTTGGGCATCGGAAAGATACCAATGAGGGCAGACCAAAAGACGCGCAACCTCTGCGAACTGGAGCCGGCCCATTGCACCGAGACGTCATCAACCAGCGCTCGGGGTATACTATCGTCTCGTACCAATCTGCGCACTGCCCTTATTGTAAGTATTGTCAACATCGTGGTAGACTGACTGCATCCTGCCAGTATCCCCTGCCACAACCAATAAAACTCCAACAATGAATCATGACACTCAACCGTGCGCGGTTGCAAATGATATTGCAACGTCGCCCACGTAAGTAACACTGGCTAGGAAGCTTTCCAACCGACTCTGATCCAATAGCGTGGTTGGGTTGACAGACTCGAAAGCCTTCCAAGCGTTCAACAGCGCTGTGACGAAATGTCTTTTGAGCAACGCCGCCATCTCTGCCTGGATGTTGTGGTCTGCTGCCGACGCTGATGATGATCTTCCCGCACCGCCTGTACCCCAAGTGTTAGGAATATTAGCCGAATTACCTCAACCAACTCTGAGCAATCCCTGACCACACTCTTGACCAAAGCCTCAGTAACGAATTGACCAAGCAAACCATGCGTCTACCGCCATCGGGTTTAGGCAATCTCACCAAAACATTCACGATGTGCACAGTCGGCCAACACCCTGCGTCTTCACAGCGGCGAAGTAAAACACATATAGAACCTCTCCTCCTGTTCCTCCTCCTCCTTCCTATCCATTTTGAGCAGCGCCAAGCCTTCTCGTCCAGGGACGGCCTGGGGGAGGGGAAGCTTTCAGCACCGCCATTGTTCAAGCTTCATCTCTGGAGGTTTGGCCTGAATAATCCTCTAAGATATCCTCCTCCTTCCTTGGCCGGCTCTTCCTCGGCTTCGGCGTCTGGTCGCCTTCCTTCCAACGGTTCCTGCGTGCTCGACCATGGGCCCCTCACTGCTTGGCGGTTTTTGGTCTTCGGTTGTTTGTGGCGGCTTTTCGCGGCCCTTGGCTGTACTCGGCGGTCGCTGCGGTCCTCTGCGCGATCGAGCACCTAGAGCTCCGATGGCAAGATGGAAGCAGCGATGTGCTTCTCGACTAGAAGAAGAAATAACGGCATAAACATAAACTGTCGACGGTCCTCGCAGACTTCTTGAATCTGCGCTGGATCCCCCTTCCTGGCGCGCGGAGCGCGCCAGGGCGGCGCTGGAGGCGCCGCCAGGGCGCTCCAGCGCAGATCCAACAAATCCGCACGGAGCTCCGAAATTTATACGTTCATGTGTTTGTTTGCTGTTGGATCGATTTGGGCGTCTTTGGGTCCCGTCTCAGGCCCGGCCCATCAGAACAGGCCCAAGGCAAGCAACCTCAAAAAGAGTGACCCCGCGGGCAGGGTCGAGGTCTCCTGGGGCCGCGTGTTGAGAAACCATGGCATCGCAGGCCTGCGGACGGGGAGGGGGGCGACTCTGGATCATCTAGGAGGGGAGGGGGTCGCACGTCCGCGGCGAAATTACGGGTCCTGGGGATGAGATCGTGAGCTCCGTGGCTCACAACGGGAACAGACAACACGAATACAAACACACACGACGTCGGAGGTATTGGAGAGGACAAGCTCGCGGTTTCAGAACGGGCTCGACGTCGGAATGCTCATCATTTCTCCTCGCTTTCGCCCTCCTCCTCGTTTTCCTCATCCTTCTCTTCTTCCTCATCCGCCTCCTCTCCTCCCCCCCTCCTCATCCTCGCCCTCCTCTCCCTCCCCATCTACATCCTCAAATGTTTTTTCTCCTCCAAACCACCATTCTCCATCCTCATCTTCGTTCCCACTGTCCTGGTTTCCTGCTGTGGCTGCTGCTGCTGCTGCTGCTGCTGCTGCTGCTGCTGGGGGTAGATGCTCTCCTCCTCCTCTTCCTCCTCCTCCTCCTCCTCCTCCTCCTCCTCCTCCTCCTCCTCCTCTCCTCCTCCTCCCCCCTCCTCCTCCTCCTCCTCCTCCTCCTCCTCCCTCCTCCTCCTCCTCCTCCTCTCCTCCTCCTCCTCCTCTCCTCCTCCTCCTCCTCCTCCTCCTCCTCCTGCCTCCTCCTCCTCCTCATCCCTCCTCATCACCATCATCATCCCTTTCATTCCTCCTGCTCCTCATCCTAAACCCTCCCCCTCCTCCTACTACACGTGCCCTCATCCTCTCAATCTCATCCTCGTCATTCCTCTCTTCGCGCTTCCTCCTCCATCACCTCGTCCACTCCTACTTATCGTCCTCGCCAACCGGCTCATTATCCTACTACTTGTTCTGCTCGTCCTCCGTGTCCTTCGCCTCATCCACTTACCGCGCCCTCTTGCTCCCCTTGCTCCTCTTGCTCCTCCTCCTCCTCCTCCTCCTCCTCCCTCATCTTCCTGTTGTGTCTCCTACTCTTCCCTTGCGCCTCCTCTATCTCTTGCTTCTCCTTTTCTGATTCGTCTCCTCCTCCTTCCTGCCCCCAACTTCCCCCGCCTCTTCCCCCACGCCCGCGGGCGCAGCAGAGGAGGAGGACGATGACGGAGACGGCGACGGCCACCCCGCTGGCGGGTCGCCGAACTGCAGCCCGCAGTCTGGGACACTCCAGCTGTCGAGCGTCAGCGTGTCCGCGCTGTACCTCCGAGGCGAGGGCGGCAGGGTGGACCCGGCGGGGGGGGGGGGGAAGCGGAGGGGGGGGGGGGGGGAAAACAGTTGTTTTTTTTTAGAGGGGGTGGGGAGGGGGGGAAGAGGGGGGGATGAGGGGGAGAGGGGGAAGCGGAGGGAGAGAGGGGGAAGCGGAGGGAGAGAGGGGGGGGAGAGGGGGGGGGGAACAGTTGTTTTTTTCTAGAGCCTGGCCCAGACATTTCGGCAGGCTCGGTGTCTCCTGGCTTCTGTGCGGAGGCGTGCTTCACACTGCCGTTGCGGAGCGCCAGCAAGAGAAAGTCCGACCGAAGCGTTCACACTGAGGGGCGGCGAGCGAGGGGGAAGCGGCAAGCTAGGTGCGCGCGCGTCATATCAGACGTCCTACTCCTCCCTCCCATCCCTTACCATGGCTAGTGGGTGGTGGTGCGCGTGCGTGCGTGCGTGCGTGCGTGCGTGCGTGCGTGCGTGCGTGCGTGCGTGCGTGCGTGCGTGCGTGCGTGGTGGTGGTGGTGGTGGTGGTGGTGGTGTGTGTGTGTGCGTGTGTGCGCGTGTGCTGTGGCATGACACGGGAAATGACGCCAGCGCTGCAGCAGGAGCACGAGTCGAAACGGGCGGAAGCGCGGAAATGAGGCCAGCGCTGCAGCGGGAGCACGATTCGGAACGAGCGGAAGCACGGAAATGAAGCCAGCGCTGCAGCGGGAGCACGATTCGGAACGAGCGGGGCCCGAAAATGAGGCCGGCGCCTCGGCGAGAGCAGCATTTTGAAAAAAATGCAAGCGAAAACCCAACTCCTGGGAATCCTGTGTAAAAAAACAGGACGCGGGGGGGGTCTAATACTTTCAGGCCGCCATCGGGGGAAGAGGGAGAGTAGTATTCATATTGAGTAATTGTGGAGAGGGGGCGGGCCTTATCAGACGGCTCGGACGTCCCCTGGCCTTCCGAGACGTCTTCTAAGCCTTCCCTGAAGGAAGACACACAAAACACTTCTCAGAAGGCGCGAGGGCTTCCTGAGGAGTCCCGCCGCCTTCCGAGGAGGCCTGCTCCTTCTCGTTTTCCCCCCTCGCTCGCCGCCGAACTGAGGAAAAGGAGCAGGGGGGGACAGGGCTTTGATAGGATCGGTAACTGGGTATAGACCGTGCCCCCCCTCCGCTCGGTGGACTGTCCTCGGGGCGGAGGCGCGTGACTACGCGCCTCCCGTGCGGCTGCGCGCTCGCTGCACCTGCGCGGGCCAAGACGCCGGGCCCTCACGCAAGCCTGTGCTTGTGCACACTCTTGCATTTGCGGGAGGGAGGGAATGTGTAGGCGGAGCGGAGGGATGGAGGGGAAGGGAAGGAGGGGAGGAGGGGGTCATGAAGAGAAGTGAGTGGTTAGGGGGTTCGTGGTCCGAGACAAACATGCACTAGCCCAGCCGAGGAACACCATGAGCCAGATGAAACCCTCTGCCAGATTAAGCCAGATCACGGCGGGGAGTGCTAAATTAGTCACGGATCAACGCCGATGACTAGTCGGACAGAGGCCAGAATAACATCCCTGAAGAACATGACACCCTCCGCCGGCCAAAACACACAGAACATCCAATGGTGCCCTCCCCAGGATGAACAAGAGCATCCAACAAGCACGAAAAAAACGAGGGCGCCCTCCCCGAACCGACCTCGATCGTATACCTCGGTCCGACTGTAGCCGACCTTGCTGAAATTGCATCCTGAAGAAAACGGAAGAATGGAAGAAGGGAAGAAGGAACAAGCTCGCGACGGCCAAATCTGCCTCACCCTCGGCCTCCGGAGACGGCCTTCTGGGCCCTGGGGCGGTCAACAAATGGTCTGAGCTGGGGGCCCACCGGTGGTTTTTGGTGTCGTCTTCCGCTTGACTTCCTCAGCGGCAGCTGGCCCACCCGACCTCCTGCTGCGGCTGCTCTGCCTCTGCCAAGCGGCAGCCGGCCAAACCAGCCGGGCTGCAAGCAACAGGAACCCTGTGCGGCACGTGTGAAGCACTTCACGGTGCTTCCGTGAGACTCAGAAGCAGCTTCGGCCGAGTCTGCTCCCTGCCTGACCTGGAGCCCGACCTGCTTCACCTGTGCCTTGTATTTGAGCCCATTTCACTTGTGCAAAGGCGTTAACGCCCTTTGTCCCTACAAGCTCTGCTTTAAGCACCCGCCTCCAGCATTTGTCTGCAAAGCCCCCTCTGGACGATCACTGCTGCAACTCTCTCTGCGCTGGCCAGGGGCAGGGTGAAATGGAATAGACCAAGAGATAAGATGGCAACACCTGCCGCGAGTCAACATGCTGACCGAAGCTTGTTATGGGCAACATGGTGGCCAACTGGTAGCACAAACCTTAGTGGGTACCGCAAGCGGCAAGGCCCTTTTTTCACCCGTTTCGAAAACAAATCTCTTGAAGATGGAAGCGGTAAAACAACTGCGACCGGACACAGCAACAAAAACGGCGCCAGGATTGGAACCCGAACCGGAACCGGAAAAACAAGGGCGACGGAACCGACAAAAAAACGGCGACGGAACCAGCAACAGAAACATCAGAATGGAACCCGGAACAAAAACGGCCCTGTCGCTTCCGGGGCCCAATCAGGCGAGGCTTGTTATAGGCAGCATAGTGGCCGACTAGTGGCACAGGTCTACTGGGCGCCGCACCTCATCAGCTCGGGGCTCAGGGGGACGTAGCCGTCCTTGCTCAGCAGCGGCAGGCAGTATCGCACCGCGTCCTCCCAACAACGAGACCACTGAGGAGTCGGAGGAAGAAGAGAAGGGGGGGGAGCAGGAGGAGAAGGAGGTACAGGCGCACGGGCCATTGATGTCCAAGTTGGTACCATAGACAGTAAAGAAATAGAGCTAGAACGAGGTGGTCGCGATGGCGCTGATTTACACCATCGCATTAAATCATTCGCAAGTCTATTCAGGAATGGAAACACACATTCGTCACGGCGGCGCGGGATGAATTTCTCCGTCCCGTCCGCAGGACTGCGCACTGAAGCGCTCACGAATCGGATAACAAACTCTGAAGAGTGAAGGTATATCATACGCACCGATCCGTTCGCTTAATTGTGAAACAACTGCAATAACAAACTAGCGGACGCCTCGACAGGACGCTGATGATGAATCTGTCGAGCCCTTGGGGTCGCAAGGTGTGTGTAAGAGATTCTCTCTCCCCCCTGACAGTCCTCCCTACCAGACCGAACAAACCAGATTCGATGTGAACTGGGGCCATCCGAACTGCGCCTCACGTTCCCCGTTTCTCTGCGGCCCCCCACCTCACCCCCTGGTCTCCGAGGCGAACTGGGTGGCCCTAAAATCTACCACCGTGCCCCGGGCAAGCAGAGGCCTGGAGGAGGCCAACTGCTGCATGGCAGGACCTCGGTAGCCATCTTATGATGTCCCCACTCGAAGCGAGCCCTCCCGAGGCCACGACCCCTCGCAGCAACATAGGGATATCCCTCGTACTTGGCAGAAACATCAGGACATATACATATACGAATACATATATATATATATATATACACATGTACGTATGTATGCATGCATGCATGCATGCATGCGTGTCTGTCTGTCTGTCTGTCTGTCTGTCTGTATGTCTGTCCGTCTGTCTCTCTGTCTCTGTCTCTGTCTCTGTCTGTCTGTATGTATGTATGTATGCATGTATGTATGTATGCATGCATGCATATTTATGTATGTATGTACGTATGTATGTTTGTATATATGTATATATGTATGTATGTATGTATGTATGTATGTATGTATGTATGTATGTATATATGTATGGATGGATGGATGGATGTATGTATGGACGTATGTATGTATGTATGTATATGTATGCATGTATGCATGCCTGCCGATCTATATGTAGACATGTATGTCTGTATGTATGCACGTACGTATGTATTCATGTATGGTTGTGCGTGTATCCATTTGTCTGTAAATATGCACGTGCATATGTATATGTATGCATGTATGCATGCATGCATGCATGCATGCATGCATGCATGTATGTATGTATGTATGTATGTATGTGTGTAGGTATGTCTATACTATGTATATATGTATGTATGTATGTATGGATGTATGTACGTATGCATGTATGAATGAATGTATGTGTGTAGGTATGTGTGTGCGTATGTGTGTTATGCATGTATGTATGTATGTATGCATGCATGTATGTACGTATGTATGTATACGTGCGTGTACGTGTGCATGTACGTATGCATGCATGCATGCATGCATGCATGTATGTATGTACGTATGTATGGTTGTGTGCATGGATGTGTGTATGTATGGATGCATGTATGGCTGGGTGTATGCATGTGTGTATGTATACGTGTGTATGTGTGTATGTGTGTATGTATGTATATATGTATGCGTGTATGCATGCATATGTATGTATGTATGTATGTATGTATGTATGCATGCATGTATGTATGTATGGATGGATGGATGGATGGATGGATGTATGGATGTATGGATGTATGTATGTATGTATGTGTGTATGCATGGTTGGATCAGTGTACTGATCCACGCTCACGGGGTCCCGCATCCCGATCCCTTGTTAACAAAAAGCTCGGCCGCGCTCCCGAGGCCACGATACACCGTACACACGACATAATGCTGACAACAGAACGATGGGGCCTGCGCTCCCAGGCTTCCGAGACTGCAGAAGGGGCAGGCAACCAGAGTCGCCAAGGTGGCCCGAACTGAAACGACCTTCCAGGATGCCACCAAGGCGGACCACGCTGGCCCCAAGACGGCCCAGGGGGCCACAAGAGGACCCCGTAATACGGGCCGACGAGGCCACAGTCACATGCTGCGCCCAGGGTTCTGAAAGATGTAGGCGTCTTCACCTGGTCGGGCTTCCTTCAGCTCACGACGGCCCCACGCATGGGCGCAGAGGAACAACGGGGGCGAAGAAGAGGAGGAGGAGGAGGAGGAGGAGGAAAAGGAGAAGGAGGAGGAGGAGGAGGGGCCATGCAGGGGGATGAGGAAGAGAGAAGAATTGGACAGAAAAGGAGGGAGGAGGTGGCGGAGGAGGAGGCAGAGTGGCAGAGTGGGAGGAGCAGGGGGCGACGACGACAACGACGAGGCCGACGCCGACGACGAAGACGCCAACGACAGGATCTTCGGCGTCGGCTTCTGTATGATGCCAGCGAGGGCGACGACCTCGACTCCTCCTCCTCCTTCTCCTTCTCCTCCTCTTCCTCCTCCTCCTCCTCCTCC